ATCAATACACTGGGATGTATTGGTGGTGGATGGGAACATTAACACTTCACTCCAGGATCTATACTAAGTACACTGCAACAACAGATAAGACTTCCTAGTAAAACACAGTGCACAAAAGATTCCAAAAGTCACAGGCACTCAGCCTGGGAGTAGCTTTGTTTCTGGTGTAAGTGCACTGCACTAAAAAAAAATTACAGGTATAATCCTTTCCCCTCTACCATCCTCCTCAACATACCTGGAAAGTCCTTAAGGAAAAAGTTACAGAAGAGGCAGACCAAACGAGGGAGTTCTGACAACAATTTACCATGTAAAGAGCTGATGTTCACAGTAAGAACATATGCTACTTCGTACCTAGTTTACTGTTTGGTAAGTAAAAAAAAAAGATTTCAAGATGAAGCAACGTTTAATCTGAAGAGTTGCCAGTCTAGGAATGACATACTTGCTTCATGCCATGGATCTGATGATTTTGCTGACTTTACTACTGACCACCTGCCTTCCCATTAAGTTACAAACCACATTTAGCACTATCTGGCATTTAAAATTTCCCACATTTATCACCTTGCTAGGAACAGTAGCTTTTAGCATCATTTTATAGAAATGTAAAAGTATATAAAGGGTATTTACAAGCAACAATTTTACTGACAGCTTCAAGAAAACTTCTTCTCAAGCTTTGGAGCACACCAAGCCACCAGAATAAACACAGGCCCCCCACCTCCAAAACATCTACAAGCAAAAGATGATAATTCCTTCATGGAAATTAAGCTTCCAATTACTTTCCTATTAATATGGAAACAATATTAACACTTTCAATTAATTTTCTGTCCCTTCTCAGTTTTACTCTGGCAGGAGCTAAAATGTCCTGTTAGGAAGAGTTTGTAAACTTTACACATTTTCTGCTACTAAATTTCCTTTCATAAAGTCTATTTGATCCAGATGCAGGACCTCTGTAATTGTTTCCAGCCCTGTGACCACTATTCCTGCCAGTAATTTGGTGACACGCAGAGCTGAGGAAACATTTATAGTTAAAAGTGGCAAAGAGTCTGCAAGTATTAATATAAAGACATTCTTAAATATAAAGCAGCAAAAGTTAATTGGTTAATTATGCAACAGTCTGTATGATAGGAGTTAAATCCATTTCTGCACTCTCAAGCAGAAAGCAAGTCACCCCCTTTCTTCCTGGCACAGCCACTCTTTCTTTCAGCTTTCGAACTGCTGAAGAGCAGAGTCCTAGTTATGCAGAAGTCATCAGGCTCTCTTGCTCAGGGCTGGCTAAGGCAAATTGCCCAGCATTTCATTTTACCTGACACTCTTTTACATTGCTTGGGATCTTAACACACTACCCATTCATATTTTTTGTCAGACTAGATTGTTCCCATATCAGAACAGCAGAATCAGCCAACTTACTGGGAATACTTGTGATCCACCAGAAGATACCATTCTGTGAAGAGATGAAAGGTGTGTCTCTGTCCAAGGCTCCACACATCCAGCAAATGGCTCCTAGGATGAAAGGCCTCACACAACTTGGGTTATTCCACTTCCAGTAGAGGGAAAGAACCTGGGTCATCTTCTCACACTAACCCTTTCAGTTCAGCATGCTGTTCTTCCCCTTAGAGCTGCTTCTCCTAGCTAAGTGAACTAGTGCAGCCTTCAGATCCTAAAATTCCAGTTGCATCCAATAATGCTGCTCCTCAGAATAAAAATCTTAGCTGGGGATAGCTTGTCCTATGAACTGGCTTTTGTTCTTTCAGATTTTAACTCTTTTTCTAGATATCTGCTACCTTAAGTTCAGCTGTAAAGCTGATTTTCTACTTCAAAATGCTGAAAGAGCAGATGAACCCTAACCTCCACCTCTGCATCTTTGGCTGTTCTTATTAGCATCCAAGAGCAGTAACCAAAGAGCTACTATCTGCAGTTACTAACAATTTAAGTATCACAGAGCAGTGTTCTGCTCCCCAGCAGCTTGAGAAGTACACTCTGTACCACAGCTTTAATGTTGAAAGGGAAACATCCAAGCTGTGTCTGGTGACAACCTCATCTCACTGCTCAATAAACTAAGGGACTAAAATTTTTTCATCATCACATGAATTAAAAAACTGGTCTGTGACTTCCACTGCAGCAATGAGTAGCTATGAAAGTTGAAGCCTAACTCTTACTTTCTGAAATGTTAATATGACCAGTCCAAGTTACTTCTTGTTTGTATCCCCAGCCTCACAAACAACTCCCCCTTCCCAAAAAATGTGATTAATTACATTACCTCAAACTGCAACTTCGGGGAAAAAAGGCATTGGACAAACTGGCTTCAGTTTTGCTCTTAGAGATCTTCAAACACTGCCTCCCTGTGGCTGCTCAAACTTTTTATAAAGCTTTCCATATTTTGGTAAACTAACAGACATGGGACAGGATCTGCTGTGAAGCAGGCAAAGAGAATTTTCAACTGAAATACCAAAAAAAACAAACAAACAACAAACCATCACCACTGAGCATGTAGGAAGGTACAGGCTTCAGTGAGCACAGCACTGGCTTCAGGTGATTCTCCAAGAATGTTGCATCAGGGGAAGTGCCAAAAAAAAGGCAGGTACTGACACTGAATGCACACCTTGCCACAATGTGGGGTTTTTTGTTGCTACAAACATCTGTTCTCTTACCCCAGTTGCATCAGGGGAAGTGCCAAAAAAAAGGCACTTACTAACAATGAATGCACACCTTGCCACAATGTGGGGGTTTTTGTTGTTTTGGAAACATATAAATTGCTACAAATATCTGTTCTGTTACCCCCAATAACAGGGCATTCTAATAAAACAGCATTTTTCTACACTACATCCTTCACAAAAATACTTTAGTGTCAAGTTAATAATAAGTGTAATTTAACTTCTGGCATCTTAAGTTCTTTAAGAAACTCCAGTTTAAACCTTTTATCACCTCCAAGCACTGCTTACATTCTACAATGAAAACCCCCTAATTGATTTAGTGAATATGATGTAATCGAGTGCTTATTTCTTAACATTTATACCAGAAGCTATTTCCCATAAGCCTACATACCACACGAAAACCTGACATTTGGCAGGTATAAAAAAAAAAAGTGAAATTCAGAAATGAAACTTCCTTCAAATGACCATCTTCACCTTTAGATGAAACCAGGATTGCACATACAAAGACACACCAAATACAACACTGTTGCAAGTTTAATGTTTATTTCCCCAAGACAGCCTAGCCTGCACTCTACTTGGATAAATTTCACAAGCTAGTTTCTGCTGCTTCTAGTTTTAAACTTTTAACCATGTTTCTGATGACAAGGAATGCTGCAAAAATACTCTAGTCCAACAAAGAGTTATGATCACAAAATAATCTTTATCCATTCTACAGTGTTTCAGAATTACCAGTTGATTTTAAAACACAAGGTAGATATAGATGCTAATGGTGGCTAATCTGGTATGTTTTATTATAGCAAACTGTTGTTCATGCAACACTTGTGCTCAAAGGGGAAGGCACAGCATTTCCTACAATGAGCCACCTTATAAAGAGTTCGTTTTGTACAAATTTGTAACGTCACCTTTAATTTAGTGTGCAGAACCTCAAAACTGAGGCATTACTCCAATTATAAAAACACTTGCATCCTTTTTGTGCAAGTCTTAAAAATACAAAGTTTTTCTCTCTAAAGTGGCTCAAAATAGATTGTTCATGGCTGCCTACATCTAAGATAAAAAGAGTCTAAAACAATTGGATTAGGCATATTAAAGGTGTTCAAACCATGACTAGATTTGTACATCTATTCACACCTCTTTTTCGGTCTTTATTCGGCAGTACATATGCACCAAATTTCATTTTTAGAAGTTTCCATATCATTTTCATAGAAAACAAAGTTTGAAAACAAGTAACATTGAAACACAGCACGGTATCCTACCACAACGGAAACATTTGGTTACAGGACTAAACAAAATCTAAAAATGAACTATGCTGTAGATTACCACATGCAAAGGTCTTCATGTTATCTTTGAAAATGAAAAGGATGAGATTTTATTACCACATTTTACTGCTTTCTACTATTATGGCAACTTGTGTACTGCAACACAGTCTATTTGAAGGGAAATGTATGGTTGTTTTGGTGGTTTTTTTCATGCAAAAATCTACAAATTAGTTTTGATGATATGGAAAGCTTTTCATAACATCAAACATTCATCTGGTGCAAATGCACAGGGAAGCCTTCCTGAAATTCTGACTTTAAAAACAACTAATAAGCCATACAGGAAAGAAATTAAAAATAACTAAAAGAAAAATAAAAGGGGAAAAAAAAATAAACCAAACGAAAAAAAACACCAAACCAAAAACAAACAAAAAAAAAAGAAACACAGGCTGCAGGAGTAAACCAGAGTCTGCTGCTAAACCGGTCTTTGTTTTTGTGTCCAGTGTAAGTTAACACTTAAGAACTCATTTTGATGATTGACTAGGTTTATTACCAGCCCCCTGAAGGCGACTCAAGCTTGCATGCGTTCACATACAGCATCACACCCATACTCTCGTACACACGCCAGGACTAGGAGCCTGCTGCAGGGCTGAGGAGCCCGGGGTGAAACACCAGCCTGGCTCCACAGCATCGAGTCCAGACATTCACTCAAGGTTGTCCATTCACACGGTGCTTCATAGCAAGGCCTGGGCTCATTCTCCTTGGACTTATATGGGCATCCTATTCTCTTATGCTTACAAGGCTTGATGATGATAGTACTGCATTTCCCCCCAATTGCTCTAGTAAGTCATTGTTCCTTCTCAGGCACTGAAGATCTTTGACCTGTAGCCCTTTTTCTTTGAACAATCTAAATAAGCATTCAGTGTGAAGTTTTTCATTACATTTTGCCACTCATTCTCACTCGCACCCACTCGCCATCTTGACTTCATTTGGGCTTTTCTGTGATTCCAAATGAAATCTTCACATTTTCTTTCCCGATTTAATGCAGCAGCGGATCCCATGAGCCAAGATTGATGGATCAAACCTTTTTTTTTTATTCAGTGCTGCATTGTACCTAACTTCCCAAATACCACTCTAAAACTGGAACCCTTCTGCTGGTACATTGGCAGATGAATTGAAACCAAACGTTCCGCCTTGTATTGCTTCTGGAACAAGGCTAGGATCTTCATCAATCTGTAACAGAATGAGAGCTTCGTGAGTAAGGACAGAAACACAACAGCCTCACTAAAAAGGAGCTGGACAATCCTAAAGAACCATCTTTGTTTTCAGCTGATCTACTTCCTTGCATCAAGTCTTGCCATTCTCCTCCCCCAGGTTAGTAATGGCACTATAATAGCAAAGCCATTTAGGCCAAAATGTTTTATCTGGTATTTAGCAGGTAGGTTACATGGCATCTACTAGTCTCTCATGTTACAGTTTTCACTCCTGGAAAACAGTTTTCACCACCCCTACTGCCAGCTCCTCTGAAGACCAATACCATCAGCTCAAGTAAGGATTAAGCTGAAGCTGCAGTTTCATTTTAAATAGGCAGTTCACCAGTTACCAAACTGACATGACATTAAATTCCAAATCCTGCTGCATATGCAAAATTTGAGTTGCTAAACAAGACTTGTGTCTTACTGATCATATAGAAGTGAAACTCCAGCACAAAATAAACTTCAGAGTGGACAGCAGGGCATGAATGCAACTGAGCTCTACTATTTTTGCAGCCATCTGCTCCCAAAAGTTCTTCACCCAAGCAGAAAACCCTCCCACTTCATGACACAAACTGACATGATTGCATTTCCTTGATATGCAATTAATTTTTATGACTCAAAGTGCATACAAATCTAAAACCTTAGTTTGATTTACATTTGGTGTTTCAAATGAAAACAACATTCTTGACCAGCACATCCTACCTCTGAAAGTACTAACACATTCAAAATGGTTTCTTAAAAGCAGAATTTCAGATTCAGAACTCAAGTCAGCAGGGAGCTTATCAAATGTGAAATGCCAGGCTTAGCCAGAAGCTGACAGAGAACTATTCAAAGCCTAGTATTTTAATCCCTGGTGATGAGGCTTAAATCAAGCAACAGATCATCATGAACAATGTCAACATACGCAATAGGTTCAAATAAGGGCTCATTCTTCCAGAAAAACCAAATACAGGACACTGAGCAGCTTTAGAGCAGTTGCCTTTATCTTCAACCAGGTTTATAAACAACTACCAAAGCAGATTGCAGAGCTTTTACACACTTACATCATCTGAAGAGAAGAACTGATCAATGATCTCATAGGCCAGTTTGTAGATGTCTTCATTTTCATGGTTTTGTAGTTGTTCAATTTTCTCCAGGCCTAAAACAAATAGAAGACATGTAACAGTTAAAATACTAAGTTCAGGCAAAAAACCCTGCCCTCTCTTTAAGGTCTCATCATAGAAAGCAACTAAAAACAAAGCTAGAAACAAATCTAAGATGCTACTAACCTCTTTTGTTATACTCAAATCACAAGAGCTTCTTAGTGATTTGAGGAAATATATTAGGAGATTGAGGAATAAACACCATGACAAAAAAACTTGCATAAATGGTCAATTCTAACCAGAACAAGACTTCCTCTTCTTGCTATGAGTGGTTAAGCTAATCTGTGGAAATATGATGATGGCCAAGCACTAGGGCATACTCCCTGCTCACAAAAACATTTTTTCAGCACCTGGTGTGATTGCCCCAAGCTGTGACATTCCAAACCCCACACACTGTTGGTGGCAGACGGGCTATCAGGTAACTTGATTATGTAGCAAGCAGCTCTACTTCAAGTTTAAGTTCGTGGCAGCCATGAGCACACATATATATTTTTGAAGTTCTGACAAGCAGAGATTTAGGAATGAACACCTCTGTATACCAGACTGTTATAAAATTGATACCTAATTAACTTTATTGCCATTATCCAGCTCTTCTACATTTTATTTGATGATGAGCTTGACCAGTTAGGAAAAGCTAAGTATATTCATCTGATAGGCATGAAAAGCTCACACTTCAAACAGGTTTGCCTGAAACATCTGTGCCAACAGCCCATACATGTGCTAGGATGTCAAACCACCAGTTCCTGAAAAAAGTGTCAAAATACTAAGCATCATACCTCCACACTCTTCTATAAGATTGGCTATGGTTTCTGCTTCATCTTCAGCCATTTTTAATATATTACTTAGTCCATCCAGAACCACTTGCACAACTTGTGCATCTTTTACTGTCAGCAAATTGCAAAAGGGAGGAATTACATTTTGTTGAATTAAGTATGCCACCTAAGGGGGGAAAGCAAACAGTTGTATTAGGAGTCTGACAGAAGCAAACAAAGCACCTTGAATTTAATGAAGTCAAAGTACTCCAAGTACCCCAGTAATGTAAGATCAGTCTCAGAAATTGTTGGTTTAGGGCATAAAAAGGTGACATTTATGAATTCTGTTACAAACACTTCAAGTCTAGAACACACAAGTAGCAGATACTGTGAATTTTTCAGTATTAAACAAGGACTTTCAATATCTCTGGAGACTGACACCACCACCCCCACCCTGCCACAAATGTAATCTTCCGGGCTTACCAGAAATCAGTCTATTTCTGCTCAATGACTATTTATCCTTATAATTATCACACTCTTAACCATAGGGGAACAAAATCAGGAAGACAGAGATGTTGAATGACCAAGACACTCAGAGCCTGAATGCAGCCATTCACAGCTACTGGGTCACATTAACATCCAAATCCCCACCAATACTCTTAATCTTGGGTCATTCCAAGAACAACCACTGAAGTTCACTGTTAAATCCCTTGAGGAATAGGGAAGAGTTACTGAACAGGGGAGGAATCCAGGCACTCACTATCCTGGCACAGCCAATAAACTGATCTATTCTCTCAAATGCACCCAAGAAAGAGAATGGTCTTTTTCTTAAGGTTTGACTCACTTGGTCTTTTCTTCCACTGATCGTTAAGTTGCTTATTGCCCAAGCAGCTTCTTTCTGAGTACCAAAGTCACCCTAAAAATATAACCACAAACAGAAACAATCATTCCAGTTTTAATGTTATGTAGGTATTCTAGTAAAAGGTTGTGTTTTGACAGTCCATTCTGTGTGGTATCACCATACCAATCTTCAGTAAGCAGGGAAAGAAACTAACAAATCCTGTAGATATTTGAGTCTACTCAGTGTTCACCCCTTCCCTGCAACCATGTTTTTAAACTGGTCTTCCAGAGGAAGGAACATTTGTTTGCATCAAAGTAAATAAACAAACACTGTAATACTCCACTCTCTCATGTTTCTTATCAAGAGCTGTCATATATTACAGTGAGAGATAAGCACTAAGTGTCAGTTTTGATAAACCACTGTACATACTACAGCTGTGTCTGCCTCTGAAGTTGGTCAACTCCAGCCTGGTTACTAAATTTAAAGAGCAACTCTTTTCTCAGTGATCAATAAATTGGCAGTTAACAGAACTATCTGTGACCAGCTGTATGTTACTTTGGAGAACAGACAAGTACTACTTCAGTCTCAAGCCCAGCCTCTACACTGAAGCAAGACACTGCATCTTGCTCACAGCTGATCACATGGAAGGTTGGTATTTCTGGCTTTCTTCCACACTTCAGCAGAAGAAAACACAAGTAATGAATACAGCAAAAGTAGGAAATATTTGAAAGATAGAAATGTGCTGTTCCTGTTTAAAACCATGCTTATAGCTTCCCTTCCTTCTCACAAGGCAGATCCTTGGGAGCACAAGGTGCTTTAGAAAGTAGTTTTGAAAGACACTAACACCCAGCAAGTGAAAAAAAGGTTTTGAGGTCTCAAATGATGACTCACTATCATTCAACTCCTAGTTGTCAACAAGTGAGGAGAGTCTTGATGAAAAAGCAGGAGAAAAGCATTCAGAAATGTTTGTGAGCAACCACCTGACTTTATTTAATAAAAAGGCAATAAAAGCAGCACATATCCATACATGTGTGTTGCTTTTATGTGGGAAAATCTCTGAACACACTGAAACTACAACTATTTTCCATTGCCACCTATTTGTTGATCCAGTTTTACTTGTTTAAAAAAACAGGTGGGACGAGCCCAGTCCATACTCTAACATAACCTGGATTGCTGTCAAACTAGACAAATCCAGTGACACCAACAGGCGAATCATTGCCACTGCTGAGCATTCCTTCCTCATGTTTCCAGATAATGCAGAGGCAAAAAGGATAAAGTCCTTAAGCTCTGACAAAATGCTGGGAACAAACTCAATGCTGTTCCCATCCAGACCTCTTCACATCACATCTGAGAGTGAAGAATTTTATCCCCATTGTTCACAAAGTGAGAAAAAGAATTTAAACAAGATTTAGAAGGATCTTGAGATCCCCTGATCTGCTTCCTTTCACCAATACATTTGGCACTCATCTTGTCTCAGCACTTTGCAAAAGAATATCCACAGTAATGGATTTTACCTTGCAACAGATGAAAAATGCTCAAGGGTACAGTTCACCCCTGTCCCCCACCTTTACAGCATGATGTAAAACACAAAGCAAGGAATTCAATGTCACTTCCCCCAATTAAGGAAACAAACTGTTAAATCCTCCTTGTTATCTAACCTTATCTAGAAGATGTATTATCATTGGAACAAGGTTTGCATCTATTACTGCCTGAACTTGCTGCTGATTTCCTGCAGTGATGTTAGATAGGAACCACACTGCTTCCTGCAAAATAAAAGGATATGAGAAATTAATTCAAACAGTCTTCTACATCATATTCTGTTTCCACTCCAGCAACATTTTACACATTCGCATTTGAGATCTGCAACTCACACAGTGATGTGACCTGTTATGTTCACCCTGTCCATAGACCAGGACTCTCTCCTTTCAGCAATAACCACCAGCAGGTGCCCAGGAAAGTGTGTAAGAAGAGATATTTTCCCCTGTAGGCCCTCTTAGTTCTCAACAGTTCAAATTCAGAACTAAGCCAAAGAGTGTATCTAGATTCTTATGTTAAAGAAGGACTGAGAGCCACCCACCTCCCCTTTTAGGTGGGAATCTACATTTCAGTCAAGAAATAACAGTTTCACATAAAATCTTCAGTATATTCAGAGTATCACCCTCTTGTAATCTTGCAATTGAAAAAGTTCTCCCCTCCTAGAGAACCCTCCATGACTCCTTAATTCCCTTCCCCTCTCAACTTCTCGCATGGCAACTTTGCAGACAAATACTTCTCTCTGCGATTCAGAATTTCTCCAGTTTCACTCAACTGAGTCTCTCAGATCAGATCACAGGATCAGTTCACGACTGACCCTGTCAGAGATTTAGGATGCCTAGGCTTGTCTTGGTGGGCTTGTTTTGGGCTCTAATCATTGGTGATGTTGGCAGGTGACAGCCCAGAGCTCCCAACACACCTCAGATGCACTCCGGAGATCAGCACTGCACATCAGTGCCCCCATTCCAAGCCTTTCTAACATGCGCACACACACACTCCCCACCCCTCATCCCCCACCCCCATCCCATTTACCACACATACCTCATTCAAAATTACATCCAATTATCTCTATTTCATCATTTCCAAGAGAGTCAGTTCAATTAAAGTACCATTTTACATGTCAAGAACTCTTAACTTTTAATTCAACAGCCAGGATAATAAGATAAAGCTTTAATTTTATAAAAATTCAATTAAAGAATCAGGAAACAGCATTTTTGTAAAGTAAAGTTTGCAGCTCATTAGAGTTTTTTTTCTATGGATTTCAGCACCTTGTCTGCTCTTGCCATAAGCTGGTATAAGTGGTCAGTTACTCAAATCTGTACCATAGCACATTCTATGGAATCCAAAACAGCTAAGCCAAACATAGAACAAAGGTATCAATTGGGTGCAATCTCAAGAGTTACTTACCTTATTAATTTTTTCTTTGGGATGTGTCAGAAGTGCTGGAAAATGTGAAAGAGCCTCACAATTCAGGACTACCTGTGTCTGCTCATCAGTGCCAGTGACAATGTTCCCTACAGCTCTCAGTGCAGCAGTCTGGAACAAAACACTTTCTTTTAAAAGGAATTCTTTTAAATCACACATTTTTTTCTAGTTGAGCAACTACTTTGAAACAGTAACAGTCAAAAAAGCAAAAGGCTTTATCTAAATACTACACCACACAGGAAAAAGGATTCCTTACACTTCAACATGAACTACAGAAAGAAACCAGCTCCTTGCTGTAGTATTATATTTTCAGCTACAATTTACTCAAGTTATCCCAACTTACTTGCACTTTAACTTCTTGATGACTGAGAAGAGGAACCAAATGAGGGACTATTCCAGAGTCTATCACCATCTGAATCTGCTCATTGCCAGCATCCGTTAGATATGAGAGTGCCCAGACTGTATCTACCAATATCTGATAGTAAAAACATTTATTTGTAGTTAGTACAAGAGTGTCAGACATCTTCAAAAATAATATAAATTAAAATATAAAACAATTCTCACTACAAAGCCAGAATTAATGTGATACAGCAAAACCTCACTCTGCTTTACAAAATTCCTACATTCCACTCTACCTGAAATAAAACTGCTATTTAACATGTTCTAGCTCCAAAGAATACACTGAGATTATAAACCAGCTCGACTGCTAATTGCAGCTTAAATTCTGATGGATGTAATAAAAGCACTTTGACTATTTCTGCTCTTTTCAAAAGTGCAGATTTACCATGTAAGATACAAAAGAATCACCCCAAAAGGAAGATGAAGCTCTAGCAAATACTAAGATACAGGCACCTGGCACTGTCAAACCAATGAACTCTACACCATAAGGCATAAAGTTGTTTTTTTTTCTTGATATTCCCCCACAAAATTGAAGAAAAGTTTTTAACATCTGGTCCAGTGACACAAACTGAATTTCCTCTGTGTCCATACATGTTGTATTCACACACAGAAAAGCCATTTAAATTGCAGTAAATCTGAACATTCCAGGTGACAGCTTAAAAATAAGAGCTGTCTGAACTGACAACTCGACTGATTCACAAATACAGACATTTCAAGAAACTCAATAAGCTCCATTTCACCTGCTTACATACAGGAAATTAATCACTAGGCAAACTTTAATTCACATATTGAAAAACATTTTGGCAAGCACTGGCAAAAACCTGTTATTTAACACCTCAGAAGTTATATCTAACACTTCACATATGCAGCATGGACTAATTTTTCTTTCATTTACACTCTTTTTCATTACAACCTCAAACTGAAAGTGAAAAAAAATAATCCTGTATTTATCTGTAACTGGATCTTCACAGAAATAAAACTGAAAGTGCATTTTATTTTTAAGTGCAGGGAAAGTACATGCAAATAAGCACTTGCAAAGATACAGAGAAATACCAGGCAAAAATTGTAACTGATACTTCAACATAAGCAGTTAAAGATACAAAAAATAAGTTTGCCATAATGAAAGAGAAGGCAAGTTTGTGGTTTTATTGAAAGAAAAAATTATGAAAAGCTCTATAATTCAGCTAAAAAACTGTATCACAACACAAAACTGACTCTGTGGTGTTACTTACATTTACATCTGTGTGGTGAATTAAAACACAGAGCGCTGGAAGGATCTGAGGAGGAAAAGAAGCAGGTGAGTTCTTCTGAAGGCAGAGAGATACTCAACTTCAGTTTAATTACACTGAACAGTAATTAGTCACCTCCTGAATGGTTTCCATCGGCGGAGGAGGATCTTTGTGACGGCACAAGTTGACCATGACCCAGGTAACATTTCTTAAGAAAGTTATGGGAATAGATGGGCTGATGAAGGACAGCAGAGGTTTCACTACTCCAAGACTAATAACGTAATCTCTACACTGGGGTCCATCACCTGTTTAGGACATGAAAACATTATGAACACAAAGATCAGCCCGTGCCAGTCACAAGAAGTCTTAAAATGCATACAAAGCTAAAGAATATGGGCCTTGGGAAGATGCAGATAAATATTATGTATCTGTAGATACATCTATCAAAGACACTGGTGTGAAGCTTTAGCAGGACCTGTGGCTGCCTGCCCAGTTGTTTCAGTTGGAACTACTCATTAAGAACAGCTAAGTGTTCCATTATTTACAGATGTACAGGCTGGGGTGGTGGGCAAGGGAGAAGGGGAGGAGACAACACCAAACCACTGGGAATAGCCAACAGCCTAACATATCCCTAAAGATCCCTTCAGAAGGTTTACTGTGGCAGGAGTAACACCCACCTATGATATTTCCTAAAGCCCACACTGCTTGCTCACAAACATTTTGATGAGGTGAATGCAGCAGTCTCAGAAAAAGTGGAACAGCATCTGAAAGACACAAACAGACCCCCATGCAATTGTTAAGAAATACATCTCTCAAAAGACAAAACAGTTCACATAATTCGCTCTTAAATAAAAATTCAGTACTTCATTTCTCCAGGCTAAGTATTGGTCGAAACTTTGCCAGCTTCCCAGGTAGTGAAATAAAACACACTAATAATTCATCCTAGCTAAATCAGAGATAATCATTGAAAGAAATAATTACTGTATCTGGCACCTGTCTTCAATCTATCAACAAGCTGGTTCCAGATCGGAGGTGTGGGATAAATTACACGTTAATTAGATTCCCAAATGAAAACTCAGGATGCAATTGGGAAAGGAAGAGGATGGAAAAAAGGAATTGTCAAATCCAAGCTAGATCAAAGTTAACAGGCTCTTAAGACTGAGAGTCTGTAAAAGCAAGCAGCAACTTATCTTGCAATCAGAGCAATCTAAAAGCACACATGCAGCTTATAAAAAAATCAATCCTTAAGCTGAAGTCACCTGCCTTAAATTGTTTCACACCTGCTGGAGAATTAACCTACTTTTCCAGTTTAAGATTTTTTTAAAACACATCCAGCCATGTACCAGAGAGGATGGTGCTAGCAATTTTCTTATGAATACACTTTTTTTCAAGATACAAAGCAAGTAGTACACAATTGTGAGAAGCCTGCAACTGCTGAGCACTAAAAATAAAAAAGAATCAGCTTTCTTTGATCACTCCAGGGAAACAGTCAGTTGTGGAAAACATGTAACAAACATTAACATCTCAGCTCTGAAACACCACCACATCTTAGAAACTGTACTTACTACACTGAATAAAAGTTGCAAGTAGTTCTGAAAGTCAATATATGAGGGTTGCGGTAGGGGAAATGCACACACACAAAAAAAAGATAAAGCAGAATTTTGTATCTTTTCATTGCTGGAATCCCAGTATACTTAGCAGCACCAGTAGCATGCACTGCAATACAACACTGATTCCAACTAGTAAAGCTACTGGTATCTCACATAATTAAGTCTTGTGTATTTCTTCCTTAAATTATAGGCAGGAACTTGTTTCACTCTGTGTTTGAGTCTTCCATGGGTCTCAAGAACCTCTCCCATTTCATCCACCCAATTCAAAAAACCTGCAGACACCTCTACCAAGTTCTGCTTTATGAACACAAGCACTACTTCAACCTAGGGCATTCTTTGAGCAGAGAAGAAAGTTTGCTTTGCTTGGCACTCAAGATTCCATGCCAACAGCATTTCCTCTCCAAGTTTCAGATTCCTCCAAACATAACTGACAGTTTTTTCTTCACCTTGACTTCGGAAGAGAGTTTGATGTCAGACACCCTCTGGACTTGGTCCACATATTCTCCTCCCTCTTCACAAGCAGACAGGAAATAGTTACACTGGAGGTTTTTTTTTTAGTTTTTTTTTGTTTGTTTGATTTGTTTCAAGTTTTTTGTTGGGTTTGGTTTTTTTAAGTTTGAAAACTTGGAACCCAGCAGATATCAACTCTGCTAATAGAGCTTGAGTTTCCAGAAGAGATTGCTCACCATCAGGAAACCCAACGATTGAATTTTAAACCTGAGAAATTGCAGAACAAAAGCAGGTGTGTGCTTCAACTGGTGCTGCTTGCCAGAGAAGAGGTAGAACATCTGGCAGGAGCCTTCACAGGCAGGTCCTTCAGCAACGTGCCTGTGACTGACAGCTGAATTTCAACCATCCTAGCTACTGCAGGAAAGGACTGACCCCAACATGTGGAGTGGTGAACACGCTTGAGAGAGGGAGGAAAAGGAGTGTGGATGCTCCTTACAGTATCATTCAGATGATGTTATTTTGTGGAAGACACAGTGTACTTTATCAATGATCAAGTACTGCTGCACTTACTAGATTGAACTACGGCCTGTGTTTGTTCAGAGGTTCCAGAGGCAATGTTTGTCAAAGCCCACGCAGCTTCAAATTGTAAAGAAGGACTGCAAAGCAAGGAAAGAAACATGGTGAGTTTTCCAATCAGACCCCAGAAGCACATTAGCTAAACGCCAAGAATTCTTGCAACAATGAAACACTCTGGGTTTTAGAAATACTCACTTGTCATCTCTTTCAAGACAGTGCACTAAAATAGGTAATATTCCTGATTTTATTAGATCGTCGATGGGTGGATTGCGATCACTGGAGAGCAGCTTTCTGGTTAGGAAAGAGAATACAAGACTTCACATGAGCCACAGAATGACAAGCCATGACTACAAAGGATCTCTGGAGGTCTGTCAGCCCAGCATTCTGCTCAAAGCAGGATTATTGCTGACACTGGATCAGGTCAGTAAAGGCTTCCTGTAGTGTCAGAAACCTCTGAGCACAGGCATCCATCGACTTCCCTGGACACACTGTTCCAGTGCTGCACCACCTTCTGGGCTAGCAAGTGTATCCCCAGTGTCCCTCTCATACTCTCAGAGATAGAGCAGGATTTGTTTTTTTCCACTTGCCCCAAAACTGAAAGTATTGCACTAATGAAAAAAGTATTGAAAACCTGAAGCCATTGCATTAATTGCCTATTTCAGTTGCCATGTTTTTTCTGACTACTTTAGAAGTTTTTTACAAGTCAGCAAAATAAAGATTACCAGAGTTATCCAGTTACACCCTCCTGTAGCTTCTTCCTCCTCCACCCAACAAGGGAGATAAAAAGATCCCAGCTGCTTTGACAGGAAAGGTAGAAAATTGTTTCTTTTTCACTAAAGATATAAAGTCAGGGAACAATGACTCAAGTACTACTGCAAAGAATAGAAACGATCTGAAAACAGATCAAATGAAGACTCTTGTAATGTGCATTTCAACTTCCAACTAAGTAAAGGAGATTTCTATTATAAGTGAAGACAGTTTATATCTACAAGCTTGTAGAAATTGATGAACAGAAGTGATTTTTGGTCAGTGCCAACACAATCCTAGTGCAGGCTATTCACAAACCACCTGCTCAAACAGGTGGAGAACTCTACTACAAGAATCAAATAAAACTTCAGGTTTTGGGGAGGCTAGAAGGTTTTTTATTTGGTTTAGGTTTTGCTTTTTCTTAAGCACTTCTCATTATCTGTTCCTCATATTCCAGCTGAATGTTTTGAGGGTTATACTTGGGCAAGATTCTTCTTTCCTGTTCCAGCTTTAGACCAAAGGATGATACAAATTAAACCAAGACTGAACAGAATTTGTTTTCATCTCTAAAATACACTTCAATGCCTTTCCAAATATGTAAACTGCACTGCTTTAATTTTTAATTCATTCTTAATTAAAAAAAAAAAAATAGTTACAATGGTAGGAAATCCACACAGGCATTCCCACTTCACTTCCAGTCAGGCTTCATTCAGTGTACTTTTAGTCTAACCTGGTTTACATGAGCAAGTTGTCCAATGCCCAGATACTGTTCTTTCCAGTTTCAAATATATTCGCTCCCAAAAGTCAAAGTGACTTCCAATACACCTGACTACTCTTTGATTTGGAAGTCTTCCCTGCACTTGAATCAACCTCCTCAATCACAGAGGATAAACAAATACAAAATTGTTGCTTTGTGCTATAACAACAAACTACCCAATAGTTGACAAAACAGCAGTTAAATACTGAATTTATGGAAGCAAAGTTCCTAAGAGTCCTTTAGGATCACTTCTTCAATACACACAACTACACAGAATTCTTCCTAAAGTCAGAGGAAGGTTTAGTGGCCTAATTCATGACAAAAAAGGAAAAAGCACTATGCCAGTTCTGTCTGTATTTAAAGCTAAAGACTTGATAGTCCTGCTAATTATAGATTTTACTCTACTTGCAAGAAGCATCAAAAACTGCACTAAGATGAATTATATATAAATAAATACTAGGATTTAAAGACCTAGGTATTTTGATCTCTTTTGGTAGTTTATTTTTAAAGTTTTCTTTTCTAAAATCAGAAAACAATCACTTTTTCTAGTTAAGCCAGGACAAATTTTCTGAATTTATGACAAAGTATGAATAAAAATAGTCTATTTGAGAAAGGTGGTTCTTACCTTGCAGCCTGCACAGCACTTAACTGTATACCCTGGTTGTCACTTGAAGCATTCTAAAATAAAAGAGAATTTAGACTTTTCACATATTTGTCACTATGATGTGAAAGATGTTCAAGAAATTAAATTCTTTTTTACCTGTACTATTGCCTCCAAGGAAGTGTTTTGCTAGAGAAAAAGAGACAAAACAGTTAGAAATTAGACACGTCTTAAGTACAGAAAAAGAAGACATGCTTGAGAGTTAATTCTTACCACTCTAAAGTCACCATCTACATCAGAATCTTCACAGATATCTTCATGGGGAACATTTCTCCTCTTCAGAAGATGCTCATCTCTTTTGTTCTTAAAGAGAAAAAATATTAAGTAACTTTAAACTATGATTTAGGGGGTGTGTGGGCTTCTGTTTTCAACAAGCATCATAAACATGCCTTCATTGATACTGTTAAAATTTCCAACATTCAAAAAGCACATTTTAGAAATCACTTCCTCCTAGGGAAATCCCCCATCCAACTTGACCTACAGCAGTAACCACTTTCCTGGAAGTTTTCACACGGTTCTATCCCTGAGAACACTGACCTATTTGTCAGTATTTATAGCAATCACAAGGCAATTCCCAGAGGCTAGTCTTCCATTCATCCCAGAAGAAAAATAATTCAAGTTACTATTACTTTTCTCAAGAGCTATTTTCCCAACAATTCTAAACAGTGCTATCTTCACACATACACTCTTCCACTCTCGTGTGTTGAATCACTGTTTTGGGAAAGAAATAGCTTTCTGTCTACAGATGAGCAGGAATATCTGATTTTTAAAGGAAAAAACATAAGCTTCTTATGGGTTTTTTAATTTAAAAATCTAGCTGGAGAAGCAAGAATTATTCCCTTCAATAGACTGTAAATATTTTTATCCTGAAATACAGAATTTTAGGAACTTCCACTGCTAGGTATGGTAGCTTCAGAACTTCTTTCTAAATAGAAGTACCTTCACAGAATTAGTGAAGACAAATACACAGTTTAACCAAAGTGTTCTTAGTGGACTTGGGAAGGGACACACAACAGTATCTATTATTATTTTTTAAGCCTTTAACAAAAGCTTTTAAACTTCACTGAAATACCAACATAGCCACATTTCATTTAGTAAGAATAATTCTAGGTCATCTCACCTTTCTCAACTCCACAACTACTTCATTTCTTTGTCTTCTCATAGTCTGAAAAGAATCATAATGAAAGTACATTATGTTCTGAACATAGAGTAAGTAATTTAAACGGTTCTTGCACTACTTTTTTTAAGTTCATGCACTTTAAACAATACTTATACACCCAAGACTTAATTATAAAAGTAGAAATCCAACAGGAAATTAAGATAACTGTATAATTTCTGCCTGTATTATTTCATGGTAAAACAGAGGCTCCTAGTTCTTCACATTGAAGAAAAAAGAGTGTACAGAATCAGGAAATAAACAAGTGCCTTTTAACAAAGGGCAGAATTGAAAGGAGTTGTGCATAAAACATCAGCACCAAAAGCACCATAAACACCATGGCAAGCTAACAAAAAGCATGCTAAGTCTGCCCAACGTTTATAACCTTTTCTTGATTCAAGGCTTTTTTAACACACGTAGAGCATGAACCAGAACCCCAGAGACAGCCCAAACTGCCACTTTCATAAGAAGGCCTATTGGTAAACCTGTACACTGTGAAATCAAAGTCCAAAGTTGAATGAAGAACTCACTACACTTTCTTTCTCAGAGCAGAGGGAGAATGGGGTGATTCCCCAGGCAGACACCCTTGGCTGGGCTACACACCAGACCTGATGATGGGCCGACACCGGCCCAGAGCGCACAGCCGGTCCCACCAGTAACTGGCACCCAGAGCTGAGCTCAGACTGTGCAGCTGATCCTTCACCTGCAGTACAACTGCTACAGCAGGATAAGCCTACTCTTCCAGACACAAAAGGTGGGCAGGTTCTACAAGAGCTCCACCTCACCCAAACCTCCCCAGTGCTACTTGTTTCTCCAACATACTCAATTCACCCATTTCGGATACGTGCATGTTTCTATCATCCTATGAAACAGCTTTGTGCCTACTGGGACATCTTCATAAACAAGTTCAAACCAACAGAACTAGTAAGCAAAGCTGAGTGACAAAAGGATTATTTATGAATTAAAACCACATAAATCCCTTGGCATTACAAGAGCAATTTTTTTTTTCATTTTCTCTATGGCTCCCATTAAGAGTCAGAAAAAAAAGCAACTGTAAATAGACAGAAGTCAGTTTACTACTGTTGGTGTTACTACAGCACAAAGTGAAAACAGAGTCAGTCTATAGCGATTATATTCTATACTTTGAATTGTGAGATGAATGAGAATAAAAACAATTGCATTTTTGTTGCGACTTAACCACTGGTAAGCCCAGAGAAAGCTTGAAATCCTGAAGCGTAAGGGACTGCAGTAACAAGCATGCAAGGAAAAGGAATGGCTAAGAGAGCTTCTGAAAAGCCATAAGCAGCAGTTGTAAGAATTAAAAGCCTGATTTTCAGGATCATAATTATTTTTATTGAAAAGAATGTCTATTTCATAAGAAACTAATTTCCAGATCCAAGCAAAACACTGACCTTCTCAGAGGAAAGAGTTACAAGAAAAAGAAAAGGGCAGAAAGGAGGCGAGAAGAAAAGAATGGATAACTCCCCACTGTTTGAAGGTGGAACTTTTCATTGCTTGAGGACCAAAGTGGAGTTCATCATGAGAAAGAGAGGAAGCAAACAGCCCCCAGCACACCCACACAACGATAGCTTCCCACTACACAACAGGCAAAGCACACCAGCATGCCTAATGCAGCTGCAGCACGTGGAACAACTAGATAAGAGCCATAATAAGCAAGTACAAACTGTCCCACACTAAAAAGCACCAAAGCAAATTTCCAGGATATATATGCATCTTTAAAAAGTGTTAATGCAATTGGTCAATCAAAATCAGAATTAACAGCTGAGTCTGATGCAGCTTAGGTTCATAAGTTTTCAGTTTTGAACTCCTGGCAGGATGCTAACAACTGCAGGTCAGTAATACACGAGCTCAGGAAAGCACAGCCTGGGATTTGCCATCAAAGACAGGCATCCCACCTGGATGATTAATAGTAACTCTGAAGGCAAGATGCACTCAACTGCCATTTATCAACTGTGCCCAAAGTGGTGTTGCCTTCTTCCTGAAGAAGCTGATAGACCAGTGGATACCACTCACCATTTAGGTGCTTATGGAAAGATGCTGCAGCTTTACAACTGACTTACCTACTACAGGCTCTTGCTCTCAGCCAGTAAGGTAGTGCTCAGTACAGCTTCTCCAAAGTCTACTAACCTGACATCTTCAAGAAGCTAATAAAATGAGGAAAATATCTGATAATAAGACTGCAGAATTGTACTGAGCCCCTTATTAGCTAGACTGCTAATTAAACCCTTTCCAATGTGCAACTGTTACTGTAACCTCACAAAACATGCACACCTACAGAAAAGCTGTGCTGCAAGAAGAATTCTTCTTGCCAGACTTCAATAATGACATTACTGGTCACAGAAAAGCTGTCACTAACCAAGAGCAAGACCCAATGTACATTTTCCAGGAGTAGAAGACCAAATTGCTGCAACACCAACTATAAAGGGACATTAAGCTGTAAAGGATAATCAAAATTAACAAATTATGAGTGCAAAAGGAAAAGCACACTTGCATGCATGACAAAGATATGGCCAGAGATGAATGGAACCAAAACAAATAGTCCAAGAAAAAAGCCTTGGATATATAATTTAAAAGTTTGACTAGAAAATCGTGTCTGCAGTTAGCCTCAAAAATCCTGAAACTTCATCAACACTCTGCAGGAACAAGAAGAATGTTCTCCCTCCAGACAAAAGCTGACAGGCCCTTGGTTTTAATCCAGCCTGCTTGGAAGAGGACCTGCGTACCTTGGACTCAGAAGCCTCCACATGAAAGACAAGCAACCAATGAAGTCACTCTTCAAAACGATTTACTAAAATAGGGCTCCACTAAAATAATTTTCTGTGTAAACATTAATAGGTTGACAAACCAGTTATTATTGGTCAACTTGTCGCTGCTCTTCCTCCTAGGAAGAGAAAACACAACAAATAAGAACCCAGGTGAGCTCTGTCAAGGAGTTTCCCAGCATCATCACCCCAGCCTAGAAATGGAACAGAATGTTTGCCATTTTACTTTCTCCAAAGTTACTCAAGATCAACTTGTGCCATCTTCTGGAAAACAGCTCAAAGGCCAGAAACCTACATATAATGTTCTCTTGGCAGATGGCACTGACTGGTCATGCTAGATTCTCCCTTGTGTTCTGCTGAAGATTTGACTTGTTAGACTTCTCCAAATCAGTTCCCAGCTTGCACTAAAGCAACTGTAAGACACCAATCTCAACTTAAAAGTTTCTAGAAACATTTAGAATATAGAATTGTCCTTGAAAAGTGTTCCAATTTAAAAACATGCATCACTTCAGTATGAATTCATGTGGCTCTTTCAGTCATTGGATCCTATTCTTCAATTGCTACATTGAAAATCAAATTATCAAATCTATTTCTGTCAGCCTATGATCACTACCCCTCCATCCTCCTTTTTCCCCAATTATATTTAGCTTAAGTTTTACCATAAGGGCTATTTTCTGACCGTTAGTCATTACTGAGCCCTTCTGCTCATCATAAAAATCTTGTGATAGCTGATGCTTGCAGGATCCTGATACATTCCAGTGTTTTTCACAACGCCAGATACAGAAAAAATGTTCTAAACTCCACACTTGGGAACAGCTCAGATCTATTAGTCCTGTCAAAGTACAGGAGCCTATACATGGACCTTGTGGTCAGTTAATGTATCCTGGTCCCCCTTCCACCTCTTTCTCTGGATAACTGCTTCCAAGAAACTCAGACCCTATCACACACACACAGCCTGTCTTTACTGTTTTGCAGGGTAGGGTTTTTTTTGCTGTTATAAAAAAAATCATTTGGGTAGCTCTGCGTACACACCTTCAACAGGAAGGTCTGACATCATGAAATAACGCTAGAGCTTTACTTATTCCTCTCATTCTAGTGAATGGCTTCCCAAGGCATGTTGTTTCTGTTGAGGAACTCCAAAAGTAACATTTACCTTAAGGCAGAGCTCCTTGAGCCATCCTTCCTTCCTAAAAGTTGCTATGCTCACTAGCACCAGTCTGCTCAAGGATTCAAAATACAAACAAACAAAAGGGGAAAGTCTGCATGGAAGCCTGTGTGTGGGTGTGTATGTGCAGAAATAGACTATTATTTACCTCCAAAACCTTTTGTGAACCCTATGGCACGTTTTTTTTTAATGCTTCTTACTACGGCCCTGTGCACACACTGCTTACTCACTACAGCAGCTGCTGAAGAAGCACCCAGTCTGCAGACACAGTGGGATAAGACTGGTCTATAACCCAGAACACATAGTGCATAAGCACAGCAATGACTAAAAAACTCTGTCTTGCCCTTTATGGGTATAAAAAGCATTGAACCACAAAACATGGGAAGAGCTCCTCAGAGATGCACACAACTTTGCATTTGGATTTGTTTGAAATCTATAGTCTTCACGTTCAGTTTAACCAAGTGATTTAGGCCCTCTTCTACCCATTATTTCCCTCCCATACTAATTCTGGTTGATTTGCAGACTAGAACAATAGAGTCTATGCTCAAGATCAATGATTAAAGTGCTATGGGATTTTAAAGTCAACACAGTATCTACAAGATACCACCAGAAAACATGTCAGCAACTATTCTCCCTTCCATATTATAATCAAACTCTCAGCTACAAATAAATAACAATCAGGATGACATTGCACACACCATCATTCTAGTTTTTCCTGAAGAAGTTGTGCATGCCAAATAAAATGCCTTACACAAACAAATACCTCACCATGATTTTTAAATGACAAAATGGATGAGCTTCACCACAGAATTACAAGTCAGCTTAAAGAAACCTGGTTTTAACTAACTCTGAATTAAATCCCTGCTCCCCTTCAGTTCCTCCATAGTTTAATAGCAAGCAAACTGTTTTGTGTGGAATACAGGAAAGGCTGAAAAATTTCTAGCTTCCTGTGATACCCAGTGTACCTCACAGCATTACCTTTCCTTCAACCCCCGAAGCTTCCTTGGTGTTCTCAAATATATTGCTACTATATCAAGTCCACTGAATGCTACTGGCAA